AATGTTCAGTAACCTTCGATATCTGCAGTTTAAGTCAGATCAAATAATTTTATTATAAATATGACTTCATTTTTGGGAATTAAAAACATTATAAAATTGGTGTTGCAATTAGAGAACATATTTAGCACTTTTTCACCATGAAATACTACTATTTTTTAGCCGTTATTTTAATAAACGGAGTTCAAGTAAGTAAAAAATAATAATTTTCTCTTTATACCAATAACTACACATTCTTTTAAGGCTACATCAAACGAACTCGACCAAAAAATGACAAAATGTGTATCTGAGTGCGTAAGACAGACAAACATTTCGGATGAATCTGTTGACAAGGTGCTCAGTCGCGAGCCCACAAACGACCCCACACTTAAAGCATACGTGCTATGTGTACTGAAAAAAATTGACATCATAGGCGAAAACGGAGACTTTAAGAAGGAGAACTTAAGAACTATACTTCGGGAGAACGGACTGAGCGCAGAAAACGCAGAAAGTTTGGTCAACAAATGTGCGGTACAGAAGAACCAACCGGAAGAAACAGCTTATGAGGGCTTTAGGTGTTTTTCTCAAAATGAGGGTTCACTGTTATAAAATTTTTATTATGCGTTATGTAAAAATATACACATTTGTCGGGTTTATGATTTGTAGTTTATTTTTCTTTTTATTTCTCCAGCGAAAGCAAAGGAAGTATTGTAATCATGTCCATTTTCGAGACCTTTCGTGACCCCTAGAGTACGAAGAAATAGGTCTGTCGTTTCCATCTGTCTGTCTGTCCGTCTGTCTGCGTTCCCGATTTTTATTAGACAGATAATCTCCGAAAGTACTTGAAAGAATACCAAGTTAAACTTAGCCCCGCCCACCCACCCGTTCTCTCATTGTTTCTTCTAAAATAAGAAAAAAATTTTAAACTAAATAGTATAACAAAAAAATACGGTTGTCCCTTTTTTTTCTTTTTTAACAGCTTCAATACCATTCTACAGAAGAATATATAATTAACCCCGCCCAACCACCCCACCTCCAATTCATTTAATCTAGTCTGAATGAAAGTCGATCCCATACTGAACAGAAATAAAATTAGCCCTTAGAACGAAAAGAGCGCCAGTGAGTGCTAAGATTAGACTGATTTTGGCAAATGATGTACCCTCTAAGAAAATAAAGGGCGGGTGGGCGGGACTAGTACTTCCTAAGGATAAACTGAACAATATTAAGAGACTGGTCACTAGAAAGAAGAAGAAACAGATGGGAGGGGTTACTGCTTGCTTATCAAAGACTCTACATGAAAAAGTTAAACTTAGCCCCGCCCACCCACCCGGTCTCTCATTGTTTCTTCTAAAATAAGAAAAAAAATCTTAAAGTAAATAGTATAACAAAAAAATTACGGTTGGCCAATATTTGTCTTTTTTGACAGCCCCAGTCCCACTCTGCAGAAGAATATATAATTAACCCCGCCCACCGACCACGCCTCCAATTCAGGGTTTCATTTAATCTAGTCTGAATGATAATGAATCCCATAGAGAACAGAAATAAAATTAATCCTTAGAACGAAAACAGTGTCGGTGGACGGGAGGATTTAGTACTTGCTAAGATAAGACTGATTTTGGCAGATGACGTACCTTCTAAGAAAATAGAGGGCTGGTGGGCGGGCCTAGTACTTGCTAAGAAAATACTGAACGATATTAAGAGACTGGTCACTAGAAAGAAGAAGAGACAGATGGGAGGGGCTACTGCTTGCTTGTCAAAGACTCTCCATGAAAAAGTTAAACTTAGCCCCGCCCACCCTCCCGGTCTCTCATTTTTTCTTCTAAAATAAGAAAAAAATTTGAAAGTAAATAGTATAACAAAAAAATTACGGTTAACCCTTTTTTTTCTTCTTTAACAGCCTCTGTCCCACTCTACACAACAATATATACTTAACCCCGCCCACTCACCACGCCTCCAATTCAGCGATTCGTTTAATCCAGTCTAAATGATAATGAATCCCATACTGAACAGAAATAAAATTAGTGCTTAGAATGAAAAGAGCGTCGGTGGGTGGGAGGATTTAGTACTTGATAAGATAATAGTGATTTTGGCAAATAACATATCTTCTAAGAAAATAGGGGGCGGGTGGGCGGGACTAGTACTTGCTAAGATAAGACTGATATTCGCAGATAACATACCTTCAAAGAAAATAGAGGGCGGGTGGGCGGGGCTAGTAATTGCTAAGATAAGACTGATTTTGGTAAATGACACCTTTTAAGAAAATAGAGGGCGGGTGGGCGGGCCTAGTACTTGCTAAAAATAAACTGAACAATATTAAGAGTAGTCACTGGAATGAAGAGGAGACGGATGGGGGGGGGGCTACTGCTTTCTTATCAAAGAATGTGCATGAAAAAGTTAAACTTAGCCCCGCCCACCTACCGGTTCTCTCATTGCTTCTTCTAAATTAAGAAAAAAACCCTAAAGTAAATAATATAACAAAAAAAAAAAATACGGTTGGCCTTTTTTTTTCTTTTTTGACAGTCCCAGTCCCATTATAAAGAAGAATATATAATTAACCCCGCCCACCCACCCCGTCTCCAATTCAGTAATCTAGTCTGAATGAAAGTGGATCCTATACAGAACAATACTAAAATTAGTCCTTATAATGAAAAGAGCGTCGGTGGATGGGAGGATTTGGTACTTGCTAAGATAAGACTGATTTTGATAAATAACATAGCTTCCAAGAAAATAGAGGGTGGGTGGGCGGGGCTAGTATCTGATAAGATAAGACCGATTTTGGCAAATCAGATACCCTCTAAGAAAAGGGAGGAGGGGTGGGTGGGGCTAGTCGGTGCTAAGATAAGACTGTGTTTGGCAAATGACATACCTTCCAAGAAAATAGAGGGTGGGTGGGCGGGCCTAGTACTTGCTAAGAAAATACTGAACAATATTAAGAGTGGTCACTAGAATGACAAGGAGACGGATGGGAGGGGCTATTGCTTGCTTATCAAAGACTCTGCATGAAAAATTTAAACTTAGCCCCGCCCACCCACCCGGTCTCTAATTTTTCTTCTAAATTAAGAAAAAAAATTTAAAGTAAATAGTATAACAAAAAAATTACGGTTGGCCATTTTTTTTTCTTTTTTGACAGTCCCATTCCCACTCTGCAGAAGAATATATAATTAACTCCGCCCACTTATCACGCCCCCAATTCAGGGATTCATTTAATCTAGTCTAAATGATAATGAATCCCATACTGAACAGAAATAAAATTAGTCCTAAGAACGAAAACAGCGGTGGATGGGAGGATTTAGTACTTGCTAAGATAAGACTGATTTTCGCAGATAACATACCTTCCAAGAAAATAGAGGGCGAGTGGGCGGGCCTAGTACTTTCTAAGAATAAACTGAACAATATTAAGAAACTGGTCACTAGAAAGAAGAAGAGACAGATGGGAGGGGCTACTGCTTGCTTATCAAAGACTCTACATGAAAAAGTTAAACTTAGCCCCGCCCACCCACCCGGTATCTCATTGTTTCTTCTAAATTAAGAAAAAAATTTTAAAGTAAATAGTAAAAAAAAAAAATATAGTCGTCCCTTTTTTTTCTTTTTTAACAGCCTCAATACCATTCTGCAGAAGAATATATAACTAACCCCGCCCACCCACCCCGCTTGCAATTCATTTAATCTAGTCTAAATGAAAGTCGATCCCATCCTGAACAGAATTAATATTAGTCCTTAGAATGAAAAGAGCGTCAGGGAGTTCTAAGATTAGACTGATTTTGGCAAATGACGTACCCTTTAAGACAATAGAGGGCGGGTGGGCGGGCCTAGTACTTGCCAAGAATAAACTGAACAATATTAAGAGACTGGTCACTAGAAAGAAGAAGAGACAGATGGGAGGGGCTACTGTTTGCTTATCAAACACTCTACATGAAAAAGTTAAACTTAGCCCCGCCCACCCACCCGTTCTCTCATTGCTTCTTCTAAATTAAGAAAAAAATCTGAAAGTAAATAGTATAACAAAAAAAATTACGGTTGGCCTTTTTTTTTTTCTTTTTTAACAGTCTCAGTCCCATTCTACAGAAGAATATATAATTAACCCCGCCCACCCACCCCGTCTCCAATTCAGTAATCTAGTCTGAGTGAAAGTGGATCCTATACTGAACAAAACTAAAATTAGTCCTTATAATGAAAAGAGCGTCGGTAGTTGGAAGGATTTAGTACTTGCTAAGATAAGACTGATTTTGGCAAATAACATACTTTCGAAGAAAATAGAGGGTGGGTGGGCGGGGCTAGTACCTGATAAGATAAGACTGATTTTGGCAAATCAGATACCCTCTAAGATAAGGGAGGGGGGTGATTGGGGCTAGTCGTTGCTAAGATAAGACTGTGTTTGGCAAATGACATACCTTCTAAGAAAATAGAGGGTGGGTGGGCGGGCCTAGTATCTGATAAGATAAGACTGATTTTGGCAAATCAGATAACCCCTAAGAAAAGGGAGGGGGGGTGGGTGGGGCTAGTCGTTGCTAAGATAAGACTGTGTTTGGCAAATGACATACCTTCCAAGAAAATAGAGGGTGGGTCGGCGGGGCTAGTACCTCATAAGATAAGACTGATTTTAGCAAATCAGACACGCTCTAAGAAAAGGGTTGGGGGGTGGGTGGGGCTAGTCGTTGCTAAGATAAGACTGTGTTTGGCAAATGACATACCCTGTAAGAAAAGGGAGGGTGGGTGGGCGGGGCTAGTAGTTGCTGAGATAAAGCTGATTTTGGCCATTCGCAGTAAATTACATGACGCGGAAAATCTGCGGCCTCCAAAGCTTGCATTTTTTGAACGTGGTACGGATCTATGGCTTGCTGTTTTAATGTACAGTGAAACTTTTATTTCAGCTGCGGGCCGAATTGTCGCGGAGCCGGACCTGTACTGGGGATGAGTGAATTCGTAGACTGCAATTGGCTGTCGCCGTTTGACCGTCATTGATAACATAACATTTGTTGACTTGATAAACATTGCACTTATCAGAAACGCGCATAAAAGCTTCCCATGAAGTCTGTAACCCAGTTGTGATCAACTCGTTCAAGCCAAAACACCAAAATGCAGACTTTTGTTTTTTCGTGTCATCATCATGGTAGCTTCGGTGCTAGAAAGTTTAGGCGGACAATCTCTATCAAAAGATAGTGATGTTATAAATACAATGAAGGAGGTTCTAATCCTGAAGGTATTGACATATTCCGCCAGCACATTTGAGTTCTTTCATAATAAGTAACCTTGGATATTTAGTTAATTTTTTGTTTATTAAGTGATAGTAAAAATCTTTTCCTAGAGCGTTTAATCAACTATTTCGTTTATTTTTATAATGTAGTTCCGAAAAACACGATAAACCAGCTATATAAACCGTCTCAATCAACCACCATGATAGTAGTCACCAACCACACACCAAGATGAAAATTTTCGTTTGTCTTTTCTTCTTCGCTGTCATCGCTACAACTTGGGTAAATAATTCACAACTTTTTAATTTGATTCACTATATGTAGCAGAATCCTTCTCTGAACCTGATCGAGATCAAAAATTTGGGCATTATTAATCCTAGAATTGGACCCCGTTCACTACTATTTCTTAGCCATTATTTGAATAATTGGAAAAAAAATTGCTAACAATTGCATCTTCTTTTAAGGTCGTATCAAACGGATTAAAAGAAAAATGGCGAAAATTTCCAGCTCAGTGCGTAAACGAGACAAAAATTTCGGAAGAATCTCTTGACAAGGTGATCAATCCGGGACCCACAGACGACGTCACACTTAAAGCATACACTCTGTGTTTATTTAAAAAAATGGAGATCGTAGGCGAAGATGGAACTTTCAATAAGGAGAACTTCAAAAATATGCTTCTGGACAATGGAGTCAGTGGAGAAGACGCGGAACGTTTGGTCAAAAAATGTTCCGTGAAGAAAGACCGGCCGGAAGAAACAGCCTACGATGGCTTTGTGTGTTGGTCCAAAAATGGAACTGTGGTTTGAGTTACGATATGTTTTTCACTGTTACAAGTTATTTTAATAAAGAAAATTGTTAAAGAAAATTACAAACGAACAATTCAACAGCTGCAAAAATTCATTAGGGTTTTCCCGACGATTTTTAGGCTCGGCATGGTTTAAATTATAATAATTAATAACCGTTTTTTTGTGCTTGATTATACCAGAGAGGGTTTTCCGAGGGTTTCCCCAAGAATGCAGTGCAATTAAATCCTACCACTGTCCTGAAATAGTACTTAGGTATAAAAGCGCCGAAAGAAACTACCAAATTAGTAGCCATCAATTCGCACAAGACATACCTCCAAAATGAAGATCTGTTTTTGTCTTTTCTTTGCAGCCCTCATCGCTGCCTCTATGGTAAGTTGTAGAAAATATGTCTAAATATGTTTCACTTAAATATATGTGATTTTTCGAATTTAGGCACAGAGTCTGCAGGAGCAGGTGTACCGATTCAGCGAAGAATGCAAAAGACTGGTTGGTTTATCGGATGGGAGTGTGGGGTATATACTCAGGACTACTGGTGATCCAAGAACCCAGGCATATGTATCCTGTATTTTGGGCAGAGCTGCGAATTCTTAATGTATCCATAAACAAATACATAAATAAATAAATAAATCTTATTACTCTTCTTTGTTCAAAGTGGTTTCCAGTTTTGTTAGTTTTCTTCGAAAAAATTAAATATTTATTATTATAATTAACATTATTCATTTCAGAAGTCGCAGCAGGTTTGACATTCAGATTTAATGCAGCTTCAAGGTATCACTCATTACCTTGAAACCTGTAATAATCTGGGTGTTTAGAATTTTTTTTTCGCACAAATCTCCACAGATGAGGTCATTCTTGTTTAATTGTTGCCTCAGAAACGTGATTTCCACTAGTCTGCGTGTCAAAACTTCAGTTGAGACCGACTTGTTTATTGAGTTTCTTATTTTTTGTGATTTTTGCATACGTGTTATGATAACAACTTTCTATATTCATATTTTCGCGACGTTTCATGACCACTAGAATACGAAAAGTGTGGTCTCCCATTTCCCTCTGTCCGTCGTCTGCGTCAAGTTTTATTAGACACATAATCTCTGAAACTACTAGACTAATTGTTGTCAAATTTTATACATATACTAGGACTTTATGTTTTTATTATATCTTTTTTTCTGCGTATCTAAATAAAAAAACAAAAATTAAGCAACACCAAACTCCTCGAATTCTCAAAACATCAAAATCTCCAAATCCCCAGAACACCAAAATTCTCGATTTTTTTTTTTCATTTTTCGTCCCATTTTTGTCGCATTTTTTATAACTTTTTGCCTCTATTTTTACTCTTTTTTTGTCGGCCTTTTCATCGAAAGCGGAAATGACTTCTGCGGCGCTGAATCTACAAGAAAATGTATTTAACGAAATTTCGAAAATTTTGTTGAAAATTGGTCGAAAATTTTGCATATTTTTATATATTCAAAGGACGATTCTGGAAGAACCATTGAAGTTATCGAAGAAATGAAAGCGGAAATGACTTCTGCGGCCGTAAATCTACAAGAAAATGTATTTAGTGAAATTTCGAAAATTTTATTGAAAATTGGTCGAAAATTGGTCGTATTTTTCATATTTTTATATAATTCAGAGGACGATTCTGGAAGAACCATTGGAGTTATCGTAGAAATGAAAGCGGATATGACTTCTGAGACCCGAAATCTACAAGAAAATGTATTTAGTGAAATTTCGAAAATTTTGTTGAAAATTGGTAAAATAAATTGGAGGTATTTTGCATTTTTTTTAACATTTCAAATTACGATTTTGGAAAAACCATTCGAGTTATCCAAGAACTGAAAGCGGAAATGACTTCTGCGACCCGAAATCTACAAGAAAGTGTATTTAGTGAAATTTCGAAAATTTTGTTGAAAATTGGTCGAAAATTGGGCGTATTTTGCATTTTTTTCAACATTTCAAAGCACGATTTTGGAAAAACCATTCGAGTTATTGAAGAAATGAAAGCGGATATGACTTCTGCGATCCGAAATCTACAAGAAAATCTATTTAGTGAAATTTCGAAAATCTTGTTGAACATTGGTGGAATAATTGGAGGTATTTTGCACTTTTTTGAACATTTCAAAGGACGATTTTGGAAAAACCATTCGAGTTATCGAAGAAATGAAAGCGAATATGACTTCTGCGACCCGAAATCTACAAGAAAATCTATTTAGTGAAATTTCGAAAATTTTGTGAAAATTGGTCCAATAATTGGAGGTATTTTGCATTTTTTTGAACATTTCAAAGGACGATTTTGGAAAAACCATTCGAGTTATCGAAGAAATGAAAGCGGATATGACTTCTGCGACCCGAAATCTACAAGAAACTGTATTTAGTGAAATTTCGAAAATTTTGTTGAAAATTGGTCGAAAATTGGGCGTATTTTGCACTTCTTTAACATTTCAAAGGACGATTTTGGAAAAACCATTCGAGTTATCGAACAAATGAAAGCGGATATGACTTCTGCGGCCGGAAATCTACAAGAAAATCTATTTAGTGAAATTTCGAAAATTTTGTTGAAAATTGGTCCAATAATTGGAGGTATTTTGCATTTTTTTCAACATTTCAAAGGACGATTTTGGAAAAACCATTCGAGTTATCCAAGAAATGAAAGCGGAAATGACTTCTGCGACCCGAAATCTACAAGAAAATGTATTTAGTGAAATTTGGAATATTTTGTTGAAAATTGGTCGAATAATTGGGCGTATTTTGCATTATCTTGAACATTTCAAAAGACGATTTTGGAAAAACCATTCGAGTTATCGAAGAAATGAAAGCGGATATGCCTTTCGCGGCCCTAAATCTACAAGAAAATGTATTCAGTGAAAGTACGAAAATTTGTTGAAAATTGGTCGAAAATTTTGCATATTTTTATATAATTCAAAGGACGATTCTGGAAAAACCCATGGAGTTACCGAAGAAATGAAAGCGGAAATGACTTCTGGGGCCCGAAATCTATAAGAAAATGTATTTAGTAAAATTTCGAAAATTTTGTTGAAAATTGGTCGAAAATTGGGCGTATTTTGCATTTTTTTGAAAATTTCAAATCACGATTTTGGAAAAACCATTCGAGTTATCGAAGAAATGAAAGCGGATATGACTTCTGCGGCCGGAAATCTACAAGAAAATGTATTTAGTGAAATTTCGAAGATTTTTTTGAAAATTGATGTTAACTTTGCATATTTTTGAATATTTCAAAGCACGATTCTGGGAAAACCATTCGAGTTATCCAAGAAATGAAAGCGGATATGACTTCTGCGACCCGAAAACTACAAAAAAATGTATTTAGTACAATTTCGAAAATTTTGTTGAAAATTGGTCGAAAATTAGGCGTATTTTGCATTTTTTTCAACATTTCAAAGGACGATTTTGGAAAAACCATTCGAATTATCGAAGAAAAGAAAGCGGGTATGACTTCTGCCACCCGAAATCTACAAGAAAATGTATTTAGTGAAATTTAGAAAATTTTGTTGAAAATTGGTCGAAAATTGGGCGTATTTAGCATTTTTTTGAACATTTCAAAGGACGATTTTGGAAAAACCATTCGAGTTATCGAAGAAATAAAAGCGGATATGATTTCTGCGACCCGAAATCTACAAGAAAATTTTGTTGAAAATTGGTCGGAAATTGGGCTTATTTTGCATATTTTTACATATTTCGAAGGACGATTTTGGAAAAACCATTCGAGTTATCGAAGAAATGAAAGCAGAAATTACTTCTTCGGCCCTAAATCTACAAGAAAATGTATTTAGTGAAATTTCGAAAATGTGTTGAAAATTGGTCGAAAATTTTGCTTCCATTTTTTTCGCCCCTCTTGGATGTATCGTCCTATCTTTTTTATCGCCCTTTCAGTTTTTTTTATATTTTTTGCCATCTTTTGTTGTTCTTCACTCAAGCTTTTTCGTCTTTTTTTAGTTCTTTTCTTTCTTTTATTTTTAGTTCTCTTTATCACATTTTCCGGCTTTTCGTGTCCTCATTGTTCGGTTACGCTTTTTTCGCCATTTTTTAATCTTTGTTTTGTGATCGTATGTTGTGTTTTTTATCTCCTTTTTATCGTTATTTTCCGCCTTTTGTTGTGGCATTTTTTATTGCCTTTTGTTAAACCCTGTTTCATTTCTTTTGTATCACCTTCTTTGTCCTTCGTTGTAGTCTTTTTTCACCCTTCTTTGTCGTCTTTGTTTCCTTTTTGTGTCATTTTTCGTTATTTTTTTTGTATTTTTTCGCCTACGTTTTCTTTTTGGGTCCTTTTTTGTCTCTTCTTTTTTTTACAACCTTTTTTTTAAATTTTTTTATTTTGTCAGGAAAAAAATTGAGACAGGGTGGGTGGGCGGCGCTTATATTTTGCCTTTTTTCTTAACATACGTAGTTGTCTTTTGAGAACAAGAAACACAAATCATGTTTAAAGTGGTAAATTATAGGCGATAAATAGGAAGTTAGAAATTTATTTCCACATTTGATAGTACAATTTAATAATTCATAATCACCGACATGCTAAATCCTTTTCAAGGATAACTCGATTACGTATTATTATGTTGTTATCCACTTCAGAACCACAATAAACTTGATTATTACTGTATCGTTAAGTGAAGTTCCAGAAATATTAAATTTTTTTTTTTTTTAAGAAAAGTGTAGCAATTCACAAAAAGTACTACATTTCCGAGAACTCGTTTTCAAGGCAACAATCAATAGGTCGTGGACCTGTCGTGCACAAGCCTATTGACACTTCGTTAGTATTCCAAAATAAAACACTCGGTCTCAAAAAGAAATTCACCAAACAAAGAACCACACTTATTTATAAACAAAAAACCTTGATGTGTCCGAATGTAGGTTGAATCTTGTCTCGTCTTGGGTTTTTCCCAGCACGTGCATTCACATCTCACTGCTCATTTTCTAACCGCTTTGTGTATTATTTCCATGTAAAATGATAAGCTGGTTCATGGAACTCTCCCATAAACCGCAAATTACTTGTTTTTATTTTTCACAACATTGTTTACAAACAGAACGATTTCAATTGGTCTGTTTCTCCTAATTAAAAAAAAAACAACCAGAAATTCTTTTCCAAAAATTAATTAAATGCAAAATATGCATTATCCTTGTACACAGACTGATAAACATTGCGGTTTTTCCTTGTTATATCGCCATCATGAAGGGTTTCCCCAAGAGTGCCACTTATCTGCACAATTGCAACAACAGTAGCAAACACACGTATAAAAGCCTCCCATGAAACCCACAAACCAGTTCCCATCAACTCGTTCAAGCCAAAACACCAAAATGAAGACATTGGTTTGCCTTTTCGTCGTCACCATCATCGCCACTTCGATGGTAAAAAGTTCAAAATATCTCTTATTTATTTTATTACATTGTACTTTGTAAAATTAGGCGGACAACTTCCATGAAAAGTTGCAAGGATACAGCCAACAATGCAAAGCCGTAACTGGAATATCCGATGCTGCTTTGTCACAAGTCCTCAGACCCTCTGATGACCCAAAACGCAAGGAACACATTTTCTGTATTTTGAAAAAAGCTGGATTTATGAACGACGACGGAGATTTGCTTGTTGACGCTATTGTGGAGGAATACACTCAAGGAGGTTCTAATCCTGAAGGTATAGAAAAAGTGGTAAGGAAGTGTGCCGTGAAGAAGGAGAGTCCTCCGGAGACTGCCACCCACTTCATCGAATGCGTACATCGACCCAGGCCAAAGAGATACGTGTTGTTTAGGGATGTCGCAGAAGAATAGGTGCTTTATAATGTAACGCAAGTGATATAATTAAATAAAAAGTGATATTTATATATATGTTTTTAATTCCCGAGTATAAGTCGGTCTGCAGTTTCCGTCTGTCTGTCTGTCTGTCTGTCTGTTCTGTAAAAATTGGGAGCACCCAACATGATATTATAATTTATATTTGCAATGTAATGCAGCACTTATCAAGAACAGAGTTACAAATCACTAAATTCTGTTTGTAAATAGGTACATTCCGTCAGCAGATTTTAGTTATCACTCATGATTTGCTTAAAATCAACAACCTTGATACATATTTAGGTATTTTCTTGTTGTTAAGCGATACCAAGAATCTTTCCTAGAACGTTAATCAATTATTTTTATAATTTATTATATAATTCGAAAAACACGATAAACCAGCTATATAAACCCTCTCATCAACCACCAGGATAGTGTCACAAACCACACGCCAAGATGAAGACTTTCGTTTGCTTTTGCCTCTTCGCTCTCGTCGCTATAGCTTGGGTAAATAGTTTACTTTTTTTTAATTTTCGTTACTAAATTAACAATGTAGGCAACAACTCCCCAAGAAAAACTCCGGGAGTACAGCGACGCCTGCAAACCCGAATCCGGAGTAACAGAAGAAACTCTCAACAAAGCTCGCAACCATGAAGATGTTGATGACCCGAAACTCAAAGCTCATGCTCTCTGCATTTTGAAAAAATCGGGATTCATTGGCGACAACGGACACCTCAATGTTGACACAATCAAAGAAAAGTTCAACAAAGCGAGCAACAATGCCGAAGGTGTGGAAAAATTGGTTAACAAGTGTGCTGTGAATAAAGCCACTCCTGAGGAGACAGCATCTGAATTCTTCAAGTGCGTGCATCATGCTAGAGAAGAGGCGAAAGCTCATTAATAATGTTGGAAAATTTGGTTGTTTGATATGATGGAAGTTGTCAATAAAGTAATAAGGAGTTATGTGTGTTTTATCTAATAACCTTCGATATGCAGAGTTCAATGTCAGATGCAATCATTACAAACATCACTGCTGTCGGATTTAAAAAATATTTATCGTTTTTAACAAACTTACGCAGACGAAGTAGGACATAAATCAACCACTCAAATTCGTCTTGGGTGTTTTGATAGTGTAACTTAAAAAAATTAACCATGAAATGCTACTGTTTCTTAGCCATTATTTTAGTAACTGGGCTTCAAGTAAGTAAACAACCATTTTCGCTTCGTACCAATAATTGTCTTTTTAAGGCCAGTTCAGACGAACTAACACAAAAACTGAAGAAATGGTCAAGTGAGTGCACCAAAGAGACAAAAATTTCACAAGAATCGCTTGAAAAGTTGCGCAATCCCGAGCCCACGGATGATCCCAGACTTAAAGTGTACGTTCTTTGTTTTTTGGAAAAAATGGACATTATGAACGAAAATGGGGACTTGAAGAAGGAGAACTTAAGAACCGTGCTTCTGGAGGCCGGAAATAGTGAGGAGAAAACGGAGCGTTTGGTCAAAAAGTGTGCTGTGGAGAAACACCGACCGGAAGACACAGCCTACGAGGGATTTTTGTGTTGGTACAAAAATAAAAATATGGTTTGAGTTACGATGTTTGTTCTTCACTGTTATAAGTTTTTAATAAAGAAAATGTTACGAAAGGTGAGGTTTCGTTGGCGTTTTTTGATCTTTTTTTTTTCGTTAATTTTTTATTAATATTTACCTTTTCTGTCAGTTTAGTAAATTATGTTCATATTACGCTTTTTGTATTTTAAGAACTTTTTCTATTTGGTTATCGGTCATTTTTCAGCTTTAAATGTTTCAATTTTTCAATATTTCGTTTTGGGCTTTTAATTTTTCCATTCTTCAAATTTCCGATTCCTAGATTTTTTTTATTTTTCGATGTTTCAAATACGATTTTCCAACATTCGTCCTCTTCAATTTTACGATTTCTAAATATTTCGATTTTTAATTTTTTAAATTTTGACGTTTCTAAATTTTTTGTTTTCCGACTTCCCAAATTTTGGATTTTTTACTTCCTCAGTTCTTCAATTTTTAAGCATACCATTTTTCGACTTTGCTATTTTAGTTTTCCGATTCCTCAATTTTCCAATTTTTTAATTTCTCAATTTTTTGACATTTCTTTCAGTTTTGGAATTTTTCAATATTTTGATTTTTCGAATTTTCGATTTTTGGACTCCTGAATTTTTGGTTTCTCGATTTTTTACTTTTTGGATTTTCAAGTTTCCGTTAAACCTTACATTTTCAACTTTTCGATGTTTGAATATTTTTTTTTTTCTAAAATTTTTCGATTTTTTAGTTTTTTCATTCCTCGATATATCGAATTTAGATATATCAATGTTTCGATTGTTCAATTTCTCGATCCATCAATTTTTCAATTTTTGTCTCAGTATTTGAAATTTTTGATTTATCGATTTTTCGGTTTTTCGATTTTTAAATTTTAGATCTACGAATTTCTATCGTTTGATTTTTGATGTCTGGATCTTTTCACTTTTGCAATATTTTAATTGTTCAATGTTTTAAATTTTAGATTTTTCGATATCTCGATTTTTTTATTTTTCAGTATTTCTATTTTTCAATTTTTCAAATTTTGACGTTGCTAAATTTTCAGTTTGCTCGACTTTTCCAAGTTTCGATTTTTCAGTTCTTTAACTTTTCGAATTTTCGACTTTGCCTTTTTAGTTTTTCGATTTCTCAAATTTCCAATTTTTTAAGTTCTCAATTTTTGGATATTTCTTTCAATTTTTGTATTTTTCCTCTCTTCGACTTTTCGAATTTTTACTTTTGGACTTTTCGATTTTTTGATTTTTTATTATTTGGATTTTCAGTTTTTCGTTCTTTAAACTTTGGATTTCTCCATTTTTCGACTTTTCGGGATTTTAATTTTTCATTTTTAATTTTAATTTTGGCCAATTTGGATTTCTCAATTTTTCGATTTTTCAACTTCTCGACTTTTCGACTCATCGATTTCTCCAACTTTTGGCGGTTTTTCGATTTTTTAGTTTTCAGCTTTTCGATTTTTCGGTGTTTCGACTTTTCAATTTTTCAATTCTTTTAATTTTCGGGTTTAGATTTCTTGATTTGTTGATTTTTTACCTTTTCGATTTTTAAATTTTAAATTTTCGAATTTTTATTTTTCAGTTCTTCAATATTTTTCATTTTTTCAAATTTTGACGTTTCCGAAGTTTCTCAATTAATCTATTTTTTGATTTTGCCATTTGCCGACTTCCCAAAGTTTCTATGTTTCAATTCTTCAGTCCTTAATTCTTTGATTTGTTTTCAATTTTTTAATTTCCCAATTTGTACATATATATTTCATTCAATTTTGTGATTTTTCAGTTTTTCGATTTTTCAATTTTTCTTCTATTTTTCAATTTTTCGATATGTATTTTAGTTTTGATATTTTTCAGTATTTCCACTTTTCAATTTTTCAAGTAATGGATTTCTCGACTTTTTGCTTTTGGATTTTCAATTTTTCGTTTTTTAAACTTTAGATTTTTCAATTATTTGATATTTTAATTTTTGAATTTTTAAATTCTAGATTTCTCGATTTCTTTTCTTTTAACTTTATTGCGTTTTCGACTTCATTACTATTCCATTTCTGGATGTTTTGATTTTTTCGATTTTTTACTTTTCGGATTTTCGGTTTTTCGATGTTTCGATTTTGTAAATTTAGGAGTTTTGATTTCTCGATTTTCCGTTTTCCGTTTTTTAAATTTTAGATTTTTTATTATTTGGATTTTCAGTTTTTCGTTCTTTAAACTTTGGATTTTTCAACTTTTCGACTGTTTTATATTTCCATCTCTCAATTTTTCAACTTTTCGGTATTTTAATTTTTCATCTTTAATTTTGATTTTGGCCAATTTGGATTTCTCAATTTTTCGATTTTTCAACTTCTCGACTTTTCGACTCCTCGATTTCTCCAACTTTTGGCGGTTTTTCGATTTTTTAGTTTTCAGCTTTTCGATTTTTCGGTGTTTCGACTTTTCAATTTTTCAATTCTTTTAATTTTCGGGTTTAGATTTCTCGATTTGTTGATTTTTCACCTTTTCGAATTTTAAATTTTAGATTTTCGAATTTTTATTTTTCAGTTCTTCAATATTTTTCATTTTTTCAAATTTTGACGTTTCCGAATTTTAATTTTTAAAATTCTAGATTTCTCGATTTCTTTTCTTTTAACTTTTTTGCGTTTTCGACTTCATTACTATTCCATTTCTGGATGTTTTGATTTTTTCGATTTTTTATTTTTCGGATTTTCGGTTTTTCCATGTTTCGATTTTGTAAATTTAGGAGTTTTGATTTCTCGATTTTCCGTTTTTTTTTAATTTTAGATTTTTGAATTTCTCATTTTTCATTTTTTTATTTCTCGATTTATCCATTTCAAGTGTTTTGATTGTTCAATTTCTCGGTTTACGGCTCCTCGATTTCTCGATCCTCTGATTTTTCGATTTGTCGATGTCTCAGATTTGAATTTTTCGGTTTTTCGATTTTTACTTTTGGACTTTTCAATTTTTCGATTTTCCAATTTTTCAATGTATCGATTTTTCAGTTATCCGATTTTTCAATTTTTTATTTTTTATATTCTGGGCCGTCGATTTCTCGATTTGTCGATTTTTAAATTTTTGCTATTTTAATTAATTGTTCATTGTTTTAAATTTTAGATTTTTCGATTTTTCAGTTGTTCAGTTTTTCTATTTTTGAAATTTTGACGTTAAATTTTCAGTCTTCGATTTTTCGACTTGGCTTTATTGGTTTTTCGATTTCTCAATTTTCCAATTTTTTAATTTCTCAATTTTTGGATATTTCTTTCAGTTTTGGTATTTTTCAATACTTTGATTTTTCGAATTTTAAATTTTTGGACTCCTGGAATTTTTGATTTCTCGATTTTTTACTTTTTGGATTTTCAAGTTTCCGTTAACCTTAGATTTTCAACTTTTCGATGTTTGAATTTTTTTTGCTAACATTTTTCGATTTTTTAGTTTTTCTCGATATATCGAATTTAGATATTTCAATGTTTCGATTGTTCAATTTCCCGATTCATCAATTTTTCAATTTTTGTCTCAGTATTTGAAATTTTTGATGTTTCGGTTTTTGGATTTCTCGATTTTTTGATATTTTACTTTTGGGCTTTTCAATTTTCCAATTTTTCGATGTTTCGATTTTTCAGCTATCCCATTGTTCAATTTTTCAATTTTTTAAATTCTGGACTTTCGATTTCTTGATTGTTCGACTTCTCCAAGTTTCGATTTTTCAGTTCTTCAACTCTTCGAATTTTCGACTTTGCCTTTTTAGTTTTTCGATTTCTCAAATTTTTGGATATTTCTTTCAGTTTTTGTATTTTTCCTTTCTTCGACTTTTCGAATTTTTACTTTTGGAATTTTCGATTTTTTGATTTTTTATTATTTGGATTTTCAGTTTTTCGTTCTTTAAACTTTGGATTGTTATATTTCCATCTCTCAATTTCTCAACTTTTCGGTATTTTAATTTTTCATTTTTAATTTTGATTTTGGCCAATTTGGATTTCTCAATTCTTCGATTTTTCAACTTCTCGACTTTTCGACTCATCGATTTCTCCAACTTTTGGCGGTTTTTCGATTTTTTACTTTTCAGCTTTTCGATTTTTAAATTTTAGATTTTCGAATTTTTATTTTTCAGTACTTCAATATTTTTCACTTTTTCAAATTCTGCCACTTCTCGACTTCCCAAAGTTTCAATGTTTCAATTCTTGGGTCCTTAATTGTTTGATTTTTCAGGTTTTTAGTTTTTCAATATTTTTATTCTTTAAGATTTCGATTTTTCGACTTCACTTTTTTGATTTTTTGAATTTTCGATTTTTCAATTTTTTAATTTCCCAATTTTTGGATATTTCATTCAATTTTGTGATTTTTCACTTTTTCGATTTTTCAACTTTTGTTCTATTTTTCAATTTTTCGATATTTTAGTTTTGATATTTTTCAGTATTTCCACTTTTCAGTATTTCGAGTACTGGATTTCTCGACTTTTTGCTTTCTGGATTTTCAATTTTTCGTTTTTTTAACTTTAGGTTTTTCAATTATTTGATATTTTAATTTTTGAATTTTTAGAATTCTAGATTTCTCGATTTCTTTCCTTTTAACTTTTTTGCTTTTTCGACTTCATTACTTTTCGATTTCTGGATGTTTTGATTTTTTCGATTTTTTACTTTTCGGATTTTCGGTTTTTCGATGTTTTCGATTTTGTAAATTTAGGAGTTTTGATTTCTCGATTTTCCGTTCTTCGTTTTTTAAATTTTAGATTTTTGAATTTCTCATTTTTCATTTTTTTTATTTCTCGATCTATCGATTTCAAGTGTTTCGATTGTTCAGTTTCTCGGTTTTCGGCTCCTCGATTTTTCGATCCTCTGATTTTTCGATTTGTCTTTTCAATTTTTCAGTTTTCCAATTTCTCCATTTTTGATTTTCCCATTTCCCGACTTCTCCAAGTTTCGATTTTTCAGTTCTTCAATTCTTCGATTTTTCGACTTGCCTTTACTGGTTTTTCGATTTCTCAATTTTCCAATTTTTTAATTTCTCAATTTTTGGATATTTCTTTCAATTTTTGTATTTTTCCTCTCTTCGACTTTTCGAATTTTTACTTTTGGACTTTTCGATTTTTTGATTTTTTATTATTTGGATTTTCAGTTTTTCGTTCTTTAAACTTTGGATTTCTCCATTTTTCGACTTTTCGGGATTTTAATTTTTCATTTTTAATTTTAATTTTGGCCAATTTGGATTTCTCAATTTTTCGATTTTTCAACTTCTCGACTTTTCGACTCATCGATTTCTCCAACTTTTGGCGGTTTTTCGATTTTTTAGTTTTCAGCTTTTCGATTTTTCGGTGTTTCGACTTTTCAATTTTTCAATTCTTTTAATTTTCGGGTTTAGATTTCTTGATTTGTTGATTTTTTACCTTTTCGATTTTTAAATTTTAAATTTTCGAATTTTTATTTTTCAGTTCTTCAATATTTTTCATTTTTTCAAATTTTGACGTTTCCGAAGTTTCTCAATTAATCTATTTTTTGATTTTGCCATTTGTCGACTTCCCAAAGTTTCTATGTTTCAATTCTTCAGTCCTTAATTCTTTGATTTGTTTTCAATTTTTTAATTTCCCAATTTGTACATATATATTTCATTCAATTTTGTGATTTTTCAGTTTTTCGATTTTTCAATTTTTCTTCTATTTTTCAATTTTTCGATATGGATTTTAGTTTTGATATTTTTCAGTATTTCCACTTTTCTATTTTTCGAGTAATGGATTTCTCGACTTTTTGCTTTTTGGATTTTCAATTTTTCGTTTTTTAAACTTTAGATTTTTCAATTATTTGATATTTTAATTTTTGAATTTTTAAAATTCTAGATTTCTCGATTTCTTTTCTTTTAACTTTTTTGCGTTTTCGACTTCATTACGTTTCGATTTCTGGATGTTTTGATTTTTTCGATTTTTTACTTTTCGGATTTTCGGTTTTTCGATATTTCGATTTTTCAACTTCTCGACCTTTCGACTCCTCGATTTCTCCAACTTTTGGCGGTTTTTCGATTTTTCAGTTTTCAGTTTTTCGATTTTTCAGTGTTTCGACTTTTCAATTTTTCAATTCTTTTAATTTTCGAGTTTCGATTTCTCGATTTTTGATTTTTCACCTTTTCGATTTTTAAATTTTAAATTTTCGAATTTTTATTTTTCAGTTCTTCAATATTTTTAATTTTTTTAAATTTTGACGTTTCCGAATTTTAATTTTTAAAATTCTAGATTTCTCGATTTCTTTTCTTTTAACATTTTGCGTTTTCGACTTCATTACTATTCCATTTCTGGATGTTTTGATGTTTTCGATTTTTTACTTTTCGGATTTTCGGTTTGTCGATGTTTCGATTTTGTAAATTTAGGAGTTTTGATTTCTCGATTTTCCGTTTTTTTTAATTTTAGATTTTTGAATTTCTCGTATTTATCGATTTCAAGTGTTTCGATTGTTCAGTTTCTCGGTTTTCAATTTTTCGATTTTCCAATTTTTCAATGTTTCTCGATTTGTCGATTTTTAAATTTTTGGTATTTTAATTAAATGTTCATTGTTTTAAATTTTAGATTTTTCGATTTTTCAGTTCTTCAGTTTTTCTATTTTTTCAAATTTTGACGTTGTTAAATTTTCAGTTTTCCAATTTCTCTATTTTTGATTTTCCCATTTCCCGACTTCTCCAAGTTTCGATTTTTCAGTGCTTCAATTCTTCGATTTTTCGACTTGGCTTTATTGGTTTTTCGATTTCCCAATTTTCCAATTTTTTAAGTTCTCAATTTTTGGATATTTCTTTCAATTTTTGTATTTTTCCTTTCTTCGACTTTTCGAATTTTTACTTTTGGACTTTTAGATTTTTTATTATTTGGATTTTCAGTTTTTCGTTCTTTAAACTTTGGATTTTTCAATTTTTCGACTGTTTTATATTTCCGTCTCTCAAATTTTCAACTTTTCGGTAGTTTAATTTTTCATCTTTAATTTTGATTTTGACCAATTTGGATTTCTCAATTCTTCGATTTTTCGACTTCTCGACTTCTCGATTTCTCCAACTTTTGGCGGTTTTTCGATTTTTTACTTTTCAGCTTTTCGATTTTTCGGTGTTTCGAATTTTCAATTTTTCAATTCTTTTAATTTTCGAGTTTCGTTTTCTCGATTTGTTGATTTTTCACCTTTTCGATTTTTAAATTTTAGATTTTCGAATTTTTATTTTTCAGTACTTCAATATTTTTCATTTTTTCAAATTCTGCCATTTCTCGACTTCCCAAGGTTTCAATGTTTCAGTTCTTCGGTCCATAATTCTTTGATTTTTCAATATTTTTATTCTTTAAGGTTTCGATTTTTCGAGTTCACTTTTTTGATTTTTAGATTTCTCAATTTTTCAATCTTTTAATTTCCCAATTTTTGGATATTTCATTCAATTTTGTGATTTTTCAGTTTTTCGATTTTCCAACTTTTCTTCTATTTTTCAATTTTTCGATATTTTAGTTTTGACATTTTTTAGTATTTCTACTTTTCAATTTTTCGAGTAATGGATTTCTCGACTTTTTGCTTTTTGAATTTTCAATTTTTCGTTTTTTTAACTTTAGATTTTTCAATTATTTGGTATTTTAATTTTTGAATTTTTAAAATTCTAGATTTCTCGATTTCTTTTCTTTTAACTTTTTTGCTTTTTCGACTTCATTACTTTTCGATTTCTGGATGTTTTGATTTTTTCGATTTTTTACTTTTCGGATTTTCGGTTTCTCGATTTTTAAATTTTAGATTTTTGAATTTCTCATTTTTCATTTTTTTTATTTCTCGATTTATCGATTTCAAGTGTTTCGATTGTTCAATTTCTCGGTTTTCGGCTCCTCGATTTCTCGATCCTCTGATTTTTCGATTTGTCGATGTCTCAGATTTGAATTTTTCGGTTTTTCGATTTTTACTTTTGGACTTTTCAATTTTTCAGTTTTCCAATTTCTCTGTTTTTGATTTTCCTATTTCCCGACTTCTCCAAGTTTAGATTTTTCAGTTCTTCAATTTTCCAATTTTTTAATTTCTCAATTTTTGGATATTTCTTTCAGTTTTGGTGTTTTTCAATATTTCGTTTCTTCGACTTTTCGATTTTTAGATTTCCAGATTTTTCAAATTTTTGATTTCTCAATTTTTTCGACATTACCAGTGTTGGGAACTTTTCAATTCCTTTTTTTTATTAATTTTTCGTTTTTTAAAATTTTTGATTCTTTGACAATAAATACCAAAATAGTAACCAAAAATATGTAAAAAAACTATTGTATGATTACGGTATCAAACACATTTATTAAAGAATTAATTCTTAGTTCTCAGTTAAACAAAAAATAATTGCATGTCAAAATCGAGTGAAACATATGAGATGTGATACATGTTTGTAAATAAAAGCGTCTAAATAATAACTATTTTCCGCAGAAATTCTGAACGACATTAGAGTCGAGATTGGCCTGAGGTTGCTCCGGTCTACGGATCAAACACGTTCTCAGGTATATGGTTAAATGCAGTTGTATTTTATACCAAAAATTACGACGCTTCCTCTCAAAATAATTAAGTAGCTGTAAACTTATACATGTGTCATCTATTTGATCATTTTCAGGTTTTTCCTCGAGCTTGATTACACCAGAAAGGGTTTCCCGATGGATTCCCCAAGAACGCAATTAAATCCGACCACTTTCCTCAAATATTGCCACACCACCAATAAAATGTACGTATAAAAACGCTGCAAGAAACCATCAAATCACTCGTAATCAAAACAAAACTCCGAAATGAAGATCTTATTTTATTTTTTCTTCGTCACTCTCATCGCTGCCTCTCTGGTAAGTTGACTAAATATTTTGAAAAACATATTTTATTGTTGGATTTTTGGAAATTTAGGCACTAAGTATACAGGAGCAGGTGTACGGATACAGCGAAGCTTGCAAACGTCAAGTCGGTTTATCGGATGGGAGTGTGGGTTACATCCTCAGGACCTCCAGTGACCCAAAAACCAAGGCATATGTATCCTGTATTTTGAACAAAGCTGCGAATTCTTAATGTGACCATATTGCTATAGTTAATGTATCATTTTTTAATCATCCACGTATGTCAATTGCGACACGTGCATTTCGAGAGAAGTAGCACAAAAAGGGTTATCGATGTTATCATTCAAACGGATTGACCTCACATAATAAATATATGATAACCTAAACTGTTTTTTAAATTTTATCGTCAGTGTTGTGTGTTTTGCGAGATGGTCTTCAAGTGTTTATTGACAACAATTTTAATTATTGCTAATTATGTCGAACATTCTGGAAGTGAAGATCTTGGTATGTGAAGATTTAAACTAGATCTTAATAATAATAATAATACGTAATAACGAACTCTCGTTTAGAGCATATCCGAAGTCACTTCCTCTACCCCTACTACAAGCAAGACTACCAAGACAATCTCACCGGACCGACTCTTCAACTCCACAAAACCCTCACCTTTCATTTACCCTTCTTTGGATCTAGATACAACTACACTAGAGTGTCTCTAGATGGCTATTTAGGCTTTAGTGACCCTCTCGTCCAAGAAACCTACCCTCTGGTCTTCCCCGTTAAGAATTGGAGCCAAAACCACGATCCTTCCATAATAGGAATTTTTTACACCAAATGTATCCCAGGCTTGTTGCCTCCAAACGACACAGACCCTAGAAAACCTGGAGTCTATTTTCGCGTCGAAAGCAACCTTCGAGCACGACCTGACCCCCTAGGGGTCGAACTTCGAGAACGGCTTAAACAGGATATCAGAGAGGGTGTAATCGGAACAGACGATTTTATTCCAAAGCATGCTATTATTGCCACCTGGAAGAACGTATCTTTCGCTGGAGGTGGTTCGAAGGTAATTTTGCATTTTTTTCGCAACGTGTACAATCGCACGCAAATGTTTTGAGCCTATGGGCGGATCATTTTTGCCGGTCGTCACCGAAGGAGGCGGTCCAAATCGTCCAAGGGCAGAATTTGTAGGTAGGCTCAAACTACAACGAAATTTACGTGTTGACCAAATTCTTACCCTGAATTAGTTTTAATTTTATAAATACCCTATCTAAAATGTTCAGAATATGATGAGTCTATACTTGTGATTTACCATTCCATTAATATTTTTTGGATTTGTTGATACATACATGGTGACTCAAAAAAAAAAAATAATGACTGAGTCAATTTATTTTATTGGAGAAATCAAGAATTGCATAACTGAATACTTTGAAAGCCACGATCAAAATGTGTTTGCTTATCTTCGCCAAAAAATGCATGACGTCATCGTAAAATTTGATATTATCATTGCAGTAATATTTTTTAGATTTACTTATACAGCCTGTCTCAAAAAAAGGTCACTTCGATTTTCGATTTTTCGTTTTTTCGACCAACAGTTTCATCGAATTAGATTTTTCAGTTTCCATTTTTCTATCAACTTTTCGATTTTATTACTTTCTAATTTTCTGATTTTTCAAATTTGCGGTATTTTGATTTTTCGAGTTTTCAGTTTTTTCGTTTTTCGATTTTTTAATTTTTCGTTTTTTTGATTTTTCGATGTTTCGATTTTTTAATTTGCCATTCTTTCAATTTTCGAGTTTTCGTCTTTCCATTTTTAGATTTTTTGATTTTTCTGTTCGTCAGTGTTTAGACTTTGCAATTTTTTTACATTTTTGGATTACACTTTACTTTCCGATTTTTTTGATTTTTGAATTCTCGATTTTACATTTTTAATTCTTCGATTTCCGATTTTTCAATTTTCCGGTTTTTTAATTATTCTGTTCTTGATTTTTCGATTTTCCATTAATCATAAAATTTTTCGATTTTTTATTATTTGGATTTTCAGTTTTTCATTCGTTGGATTTTTCAATTTTTCGACTGTTTTATATTCCAATTTTTCAACATTTCGGTATTTTAATTTTTCATTTTTAATTTTCATTTGGGCCAATTTGTATTTCTCAATTTTTCGATTTTTCAACTTCTCGACTTTTCGAGTTCTCGATTTCTCCAAAGTTTCAATGTTTCAATTCTTCAGTCCTTAATTCTTTGATTTTTCAGATTTTTAATTTTTCAATATTTTTATTCTTTAAGATTTCGATTTTTCGACTTCACTTTTTTGGTTTTTTGAATTTTCGATTTCTCAATTTTTCAATTTTTTAATTTCCCAATTTTTGGATATTTCATTCAATTTTGTGATTTTTCAGTTTTTCGATTTTTCAACTTTTCTTCTATTTTTCAATTTTTGGATATTTTAGTTTTGACATTTTTCGTTTTTTTTTACTTTAGATTTTTCAATTATTTGATATTTTAATTTTTGAATTTTTAAAATTCTAGATTTCTCGATTTCTTTTCTTTCAACTTTTTTGCTTTTTCGACTTCATTACTTTTCCATTTCTGGATGTTTTGATTTTTTCGATTTTTTACTTTTCGGATTTTCGGTTTTTCGATGTTTCGATTTTTCAATTTCTCGGTTTTCGACTCCTCGATTTCTCGATCCTCTGATTTTTCGATTTGTCGATGTCTCAGATTTGAATTTTTCGGTTTTTCGATTTTTCGATTTTTACTTTTGGACTTTTCAATTTTTCGATTTTCCATTTTTCAATGTTTCGACTTTTCAGTCATCCGATTTTTCAATTTTTTATTTTTTAAATTCTGGACCGTCGATTACTCGATTTGTCGATTTTTAAATTTTTGGTATTTTAATTAATTGTTCATTGTTTTAAATTTTAGATTTTTCGATTTTTCAGTCCTTCAGTTTTTCAATTTTTTCAAATTTTGACGTTAAATTTTCAGTCTTCGATTTTTCGACTTGGCTTTATTGGTTTTTCGATTTCTCAATTTTTCAATTTTTTAATTTCTCAATTTTTGGATATTTTTTTTGATGTTTCGGTTTTTGGATTTCTCGGTTTTTTGATATTTTGCTTTTGGGCTTTGCAATTTTCCATTTTTTAGATGTTTCGATTTTTCAGCTATCCCATTGTTCAATTTTTTAAATCCTGGACTTTCGATTTCTTGATTTGTCGATTTTTCGGTTGTTCGATTTTTAAATTTTCGATCTATGAATTTTTATTGCTTGATTTTTGATGTCTGTATTTCCGATTTTTCAATTTTGTAATATTTTAATTGTTCCTGTTTTAAATTTTAGAATTTTCGATTTCTCGATTTTTCTATTTTTCAATTCTTCAGTATTTCTATTTTTCTATTTTTCAATTTTTCAAATTTTGACGTTGCTAAATTTTCTGTTTGCTCGACTTTTCCAAGTTTCTATTTTTTAAGTTCTCAATTTTTGGATATTTCTTTCAGTTTTTGTTTTTTTCCTTTCTTCTACTTTTCGAATTTTCGATTTTTTATTATTTGGATTTTCAGTTTTTCATTCGTTGGATTATTTAATTTTTCGACTGTTTTATATTTCAATTTTTCAATTTTTCAACTTTTCGGTATTTCAATTTTTCATTTTTAATTTTGATTTTGGCCAATTTGGATTTCTCAACTTTTCGACTCCTTTTGGCGGTTTTTCGATTTTTTAGTTTTCGACTTTTCAATTTTTCAATTCTTTTAATTTTCGGGTTTAGATTTCTCGATTTGTTGATTTTTCACCTTTTCGATTTTTAAATTTTAAATTTTCGAATTTTTATTTTTCACTTCTTCAATATTTTTCATTTTTTCAAATTTTGACGTTTCCGAATTTTCTCAATTAATCCATTTTTTTATTTTTCCATTTCTCGACTTCCCAAAGTTTCAATGTTTCAATTCTTCAGTCCTTAATTCTTTGATTTGTTTTCAATTTTTTAATTTCCCAATTTGTGCATATTTCATTCAATTTTGTGATTTTTCAGTTTAACGATTTTTCAATTTTTCGATATTTTAGTTTTGATATTTTTCAGTATTTCCACTTTTCAATTTTTCGAGTAATGGATTTCTCGAGTTTTTGCTTTTTGGATTTTCAATTTTTCGTTTTTTAAACTTTCAATTTTTCAATTATTTGGTATTTTAATTTTTGAATTTTTAAAATTCTAGATTTCTCGATTTCTTTCCTTTTAACTTTTTTACTTTTTCGATTTTCCATTAATCATAAAATTTTTCGATTTTTCGATTGTTTTATTTTTCGATTTTCGTTTTTCCGCTTTTGTGGTTTTTCGATTTTTCTGTTTGTTTCAGTTTTTATGGTTCTGCAATTTGCAGCTTTTAGATTTCAATTTTGTTACTTTCCGATTTTCCATTTTTCCAATTTTTGTTTTTTTTTCGATAGTCGTTTTTTCGATTTTCATTTTTCGATTTTTTGATTTTTCAATTTTTAGGCCTTGCAATTTTTTTACTTTTCGCTTTTTCGAGTATTTGTTTCATCGAATTTTCGAGTTTTCGATTTTCGATTTTTCGGATTTTCCGTTTTCCCATTTTCGATTTTTCGATTTTCCATGTTTAGATATTTTTCGATTTTTTTTTTATTTTTCGATTGTTCTGTTCGTCAGTTTTGAGACTTTGCAATTTTTACTTTTCCACTTTTCTATTATTTTAGTTTCGGATTATTCGATTTCTGAATTTTCGTTTTTTTTTTCATTTTTCGATTTCCGATTTTTTAATTTTTCGATTTTTCGGTTTTCCAATTTCGATTTTTCAATTTCCAGTTTTCGATTTTCCACTTTTTGATTTTACGATTTTTCGATTTTTCTGTTCGTCAGTTTTTAGGCTTTGCAATTTGTTTACTTTTCGATTTTTCGATTATTTTTTTCCAGTTTTTTGATTTTTGAATTATCGACTTTTAGAGTTTTTGACTGTTTTATATTTCAATTTTTTAATTTTTCAACTTTTCTGTATTTTAATTTTTCATTTTTAATTTTCATTTTGCCCAATTTGAATTTCTCAATTTTTCGATTTTTCAACTTCTCGACTTTTCGACTCCTCGATTTCTCCAACTTTTGGCGGTTTTTCGGTTTTTTAGTTTTCAGCTTTTCGATTTTTCGGCGTTTCAACTTTTCAATTTTTCAATTCTTCTAATTTTCGAGTTTTGATTTCTCGATTTGCTGATTTTTAAATTTCAGATTTTCGAATTTTTATTTTTCAGTACTTTAATATTTTTCATTTTTTCAAATTTTGCCATTTCTCGGCTTCCCAAAGTTTCAGTGTTTCAATTCTTCGGTCCTTAATTCTTTGATTTTTCAGGTTTTTAATTTTTCTATATTTTTATTCTTAATTTTTTGATTTTTCGATTTCTCAATTTTTCAATTTTTTAATTTCCCAATTTTTGGATATTTCATTCAATTTTGTGATTTTTCACTTTTACGATTTTTCAACTTTTGTTCTATTTTTCAATTTTTCGATATTTTAGTTTTGACATTTTTTAGTATTTCCACGTTTCAATATTTCGAATACTGGATTTCTCGACTTTTTGCTTTTTGGATTTTCAATTTTTCGTTTTTTAAACTTTAGATTTTTCAATTATTTGGTATTTTAATTTTTGAATTTTTAAAATTCTAGATTTCTCGATTTCTTTTCTTTTAACATTTTTGCTTTTTCGACTTCATTACTTTTCGATTTCTGGGTGTTTTGATTTTTTCGATTTTTTACTTTTCGGATTTTCGGTTTTTCGATGTTTTCGATTTTGTAAATTTAGGAGTTTTGATTTCTCGATTTTCCGTTTTTCGATTTTTAAATTTCAGATCCACGAATTTTTGTTGTTTGATTTTTGATGTCTGGATTTTTTCAGTTTTGCAATATTTTAATTGTTCAATGATTTAAATTTTAGATTTTTCGATTTTTCGATTTTTTTATTTTTCAGTTCTTCAGTATTTCTATTTTTCAATTTTTCAAATCTCGACGTTGCTAAATTTTCAGTTTGCTCTATTTTTCCAAGTTTCGATTTTTCAGTTCTTCAATTTTTCGAATTTTCGACTTTGCCTTTTTAGTTTTTCGATTTCTCAAATTTCCAATTCTTTAAATTCTCATTTTTTGGAAATTTCTTTCAATTTTTGTATTTTTCCTTTCTTCGACTTTGGAATTTTTAGTTTTGGACTTTTCGATTTTTCGATTTTTTATTATTATTTGATTTTCAGTTTTTCGTTCTTTAAACTTTGGATTTTTCAATTTTTTTACTGTTTTATATTTCCATCTCTCAATTTTTCAACTTTTCGGTATTTTAATTTTTCATTTTTAATTTTCATTTTGGCCAATTTGGATTTCTCAATTTTTCGATTTTTCAACTTCTCGACTTTTCGACTCCTCGATTTCTCCAACTTTTGGCGGTTTTTCGATTTTTTAGTTTTCAGCTTTCCGATTTTTCGGTGTTTCGACTTTTCAATTTTTCAATTCTTTTAATTTTCGGGTTTAGATTTCTCGATTTGTTGATTTTTCACCTTTTCGATTTTTAAATTTTAGATTTTCGAATTTTTATTTTTCAGTTCTTCAATATTTTTCATTTTTTCAAATTTTGCCGTTTTCGATTTTTCGATTATTTTTTCCAGTTTTTTGATTTATGAATTGTCGACTTTTCAATATTATGAATTTTCGAATTTTCGGTTTTCCTATTTTTCGATTTTTGATTTTTCCATTTTTCGGTTTTTTGATTTTTCAATTCTCGGTTTTTCAATCTTGCAAATTTTCGATTTTTCAGATTTGTGAATTTCCAGTTTTTCGATCGATCTACGTATTAGATTCATTGAATTTTCGATTTTCGGTTTTTCCATTTTTAGCTTTTTGATTTTCCAGTTTTGTATTTTCAGATTTTCTGTTTTTCGCATATCTGATTTATCAAATTTCCGATTTCTCGGCTTTTCGATTTTTCGATATTTGATTTTCGAATTTTCGATTGTTCAGTTTTCCATTTTTCAGCTTTTAGACTTCAATTTTTTTACTTTTCGATTTTCCAAATTTTCGAGTTTCAATTTTCAGATTTTTGATTTTTCGATTTTCATTTTAAATCTTTGAATTTTTCGGTTTTGATTTTTCGAATTTTTGATTTTTAAATTTTCCATTCTTCGGTTTTTAGACTTGAATTTTCTTTCTTTTAAATTTTTCGATATTCTATTTGCCGCTTTTCAGAATTTTCGATTTTCAGTTTTCAGATTTTCAATGATTAGAATTTTGGATTTTTCAGTTTTATGATTTTTCGATTTTTAGAAACTTTGAGTAGTCGAATTTTCGATTTTTCAATTCATCGATTTTTCCATGTTCAATTTTTCAATTTAAATTTTGCGATTTTCAATTTGTCCATTGTCGATTTTTAGAATTTTCGGTTTTTCAATTTTTCCATTCTCAACTGTTAGACTTCAATTTTGTTACTTTCCGATTTTTTGGTTTTCGATTTTCCAATTTTCAGAATTTCCAAGTTTCTTTATTCAGATTTTCGATTTTCCACTTTCTCGATTTTAGATTTTTCGAATTTTTGTTTTTCCAATTTTTTGCTTTTTCGATTTTTCTGTTCGTTTCAGTTTTTATTATTTTGATTATTTTAATTTCCGATTTTTTTTATTTTTGTTTTTGATTTTTTTAATTTTCAATATTACAAATTTTTGACTTTTCGATTTTCTGGTTTTCCCGTTTTTCAATTTTCGATTTTTGAGGTTTGTGAATTTCCACTTTTCGATCGACCTAGGTATTTGATTCATTGAATTTTCGATTTTTTGATTAGCCATTTTTAAATTTTCGATTTTTACGATTTGTATTTTTCGATTTTCTGTTTTTTGCATTAGTGAATTTCAGTTTTTCCGATTTTTGATTTTGGGCATATTTGATTAATCAAATTTTCACAAAAACTTCAAAACATCTACAATATTTCAAAGTATTCAGTTTTGCTATTCTTGATTTCTTCAATAAAATAAATTGAATCAGTCATTAACTTTTTTGAGACACCCTGTATAACCAAATCTAAAAAATATTAATGCAGTGATAAATCACAAGTATAAAACTCATCATATTTTATACATTTAAGATAGGATTTATTCTGCAAAATTTTGAGGTGACGTCATAAATTTTTTAGAGGGGATAAGCAAATATATTTTAATTAAAAATGTATCATCACGCAGACGTTAATTTATCTGTCTGGGGTTACAGAGAAACCCAGGTACCACAATTTTTACACATTGCGGACTTAGCCACAACTCAGAATACAGGTTCATTCAAAATTGTACCATCCCTTTACAAAAATCGTACCAACACAGAAACTGACATCCTATTCGGGTTCATACAGATGAACACAACCCGATTTCTGGACACCGATAAAACGAAAGTACCAGTAACTGTAACGATTTGGAGCGAACCCATTCCTCTAGCGTGGTACTTCGCACCACAATGGGAACAAAAATTCGGGAAACATTGGGCTAAAAATTTTTGTGATAGGTGGATACGCGACGACGAACAATTACCGAATTTCAGGGAACAACTTCCCAAGTGTCCGTGCTCTCTGTACCAAGCTTTAGCCGATAAAGGCCAGTACATGTCTGACTTCCTCTGCGACAAAGACTGGAATCCTAAGTGTTTATTCCATAGAAGTGCCGTCCACTGTGTTAGGACTCCAAATCCAACGTAAGTACCTTAATTATCTATTTAACTAAAAAGGTCCCGTGTAGTTTACAAGGTGAACAACAATGTTGCTACGACCGGAACTATTTCTTGATGTTATCACAAGATCAGCAGTGGGGTTCTTACCCCAAACGTAGCCACAGTTTGGGGTACCCACGTACCAAAGTACCGACTTTATCTCAGTGGTACCACGACATAGTCCCACGCTTTGTTTGTTGTTTGTGGCAGTCTGAAAGTTCACAAGGGTGCGAAATTCTCAGACATGAGAGGCGTCCAACTCAAGATTGCGTAAACTACGAAAGTCCTGGGATTGCTGGGGTTTATGGTAATTTACACATCATAACTTTCGACGATTTGGAATATACTTTTACCGGAAAAGGAGAATTTGTGTTGGTACGTTCTTCTAGTGTTGAGGTGCAAGGAAGGTTCGAACAAGTTTTGACTGGTCTTGGTGAAGTTAGAGCCACTGAACTAACGTCGGTGGTTGCAAGAGAAAACTCGACCATGGTTGTTGAAGTTAGAAGAAGACCAAAGGGGGCGAGGTGGCGGTACCACCTTGACGTTCTCTTTAACGGTAGAAGGGTTTATTTTGACAGAAATCCAACAAAAGTGAAACATTTGCCAGGTTTGTGGGTACTACCTGTCATAGTTTAAATTAAATTGTCTTTACCTTTTGTGGTAGGGGTTACCGTATACGTACCAAGCTACATTTTCGACCAATCTGAAGTCGTCATCATGTTCGAGTCTGGTCTAGGTGTTGAGGTTATAGAAAACAAAGGTTGTCTTATGGCAAGAGTATACGTACCAAGGAAATTTATAGTAATGGTTATAATTTGTGTTAGTAAATTTTGACACTTAACGTTAACAGAATCAAACGCGAGGTCTTTTGGGCAACTGGAGTTACGACATTTCCGACGACTTCACGCTACCAAATGGTACCAAAACACTTTGGGAAAAAATGGGCCCTGGGTGATTCCACCGATCCTCCAGCTCTTTTTACAAGGGAATATGGTGACACTGCGTCTACTTTTATCGATCCAACATATAAACCAGAATTTCGTACGAATCTCGAGAAACTCATACCTGAAAATCGGTCTCTTGATCGATTTATAGCTGGTGAAATTTGTCACTCGGACGACGCCTGTAAATATGATTATGCTCTCACATATAGTAAAGAAAGAGCGCTTATTTCAAGACAACATAAACACTCGATTTTGGTTTTGAAACACACTGCTCGAGAGAGATTTATTTCTTGTGGTGTTTTAAAAACTCCAAGATTTGGAAGAAAAAGTACTTTTCTCTTTGGACTTGGGGTAAAAGTTTGGTTTAATTGTATGCCGGGGTTTAGATTGGTTGGGGTTGAGACGAAAACGTGTTTGTCGAATGGAACGTGGACGCAAGGAAACACAGAGTGTGTAACTGAAAAAGCTCTAATAAAATCCACATATGTATTATACTTACAAGCTGTTCTAATTTTCGTGCTAAGATTGTATTTTCAGTCTTCTTAAAGTTACGTGTATAAGAGCAATTTATTTTTCAATTTTCCACGTTTTTTTTAAGACCTGTCTGGAGCCGAACACTTTTAATCGAATACTTGCGACTGAAATATTCTCGATTCCCTTTGGTCCGCAACCAACGTTAATAAAAGTTTTACGGTGAATTAGTGCGATAAAGTGATTTTAATTGATTCCCTTTGTCCTTTGTTCACATCATGAAGTACCAGATTCTAATTCTCACCCGAATTTAATAAAAAAATTCATTATTTATCGAACTGAAGGGAGCATTTGGTCGTTGCGGAGTTCTCATCCAGTTTAATAACAGAGCTTTAAAACTTTAGGCGTCCTGAAAATGTCAGGATTGATTCATTTCTTTTTATTGTTATAATTCATTCACATTTTCGTAGTTTAGGACGCCCTGTATATATCCCGCAAACACCAAACCAGCCCTTTCCCTAAAAATAGCAAATTCAATAAATAGGAGGTGTAGTTCGCATGTTTAATTGCGCGTCAAGAATTGATTGGATCGTTGCCTGTTTGGAAGCATGTAGGGTGAAAGCATCTACCAGGGAAATTTACATTTTACACGTTTTACGTGACCGTCACAGATCTGAGTTAATTGATTTATGTTAATGAAATATATGGGGTCTAATCATAATAAAGGGAAGATTAAAATGAGAAAGCCTTGTACGCGGAAAAATATTCCTCTGCTAATTTGAGTTACGGGCTTTGAGGTAACATAATTATATTAACCTATTTTTCGCATAAACAGCCTACCGTGGTTTAGGAGGCAAGAGGATCAGTCGGTACGTGGAAAAGTGTTTCATTGTACAGTAGGTGGATTTTATTACGTTCCACAGAAATACGAGGTTTTATTCTTTCAGATAAATTTCCTAAGATAAAGTGGAATTGGAAATCACTTTGACAAATATGTTCGATTTTACTACTACTACTTTATCAACATAATTTGAATGTACACTTACAATTTCAGAGCAGTCGTTTCAATAGTTTCTAGGAATCACAAAACTTAGAATATAAAGATGATAAAGATAACACATAATAATATCGAAAAAAAAGAAGAAGAAAATCATTATTAAACCAAATAATGGAATTACAATTATATTTAAGAGTTCTATAGTTTGTTCTTTTTGTTCTTCTTTCTGCCTTTGTGTACTTCCGTCTACATTTTCATCCCTCCGTTTGCTATTCTGTTTTCTGCCTCATTTTCTGTCCTATCAGCCCTTTCGCTCCCATGTGTCATATCTGTTCTGTCCTTTCTGCCTTTTCTGTCCCATCTGTTTTATCAGGTATTTTTATTCTATCAGCTCTTTCTACTAATTTTGTTATTTCTGTCCTTTCCTATATTTTGTGTCCGTTCTGTTCATTACGCTTTTTCTATTATTTCTGTTCTATCTATCCTTTCCATCCTTTAGGTCCTTTCTGTTCTTTATGTTCAATTTTCTCTTTGTGTCTTACTTGTCCTATCTATCCTATTTGTTCTTTCTGTACTATCAGTTTTTTCGATCCTTTCTGTACATTCTATGCCTTTTGCATGTTCTGTTTGTCTGTTTTATGTATTCTTTCTGTACATTCTGTTTCTGTCCAATTTGTCCGTTTTCTCCTCTCTGTGCTTTCTGGAGTTTATATTCGTACTGTCCTTTATAGAATAATCTGGGTCGTTATATCTTTCTGCCTTTTCCATTGTTTCTGCCTTATTTATTCTCTCTGTTCAACATATTTTTTTTTGTCCTCTGTTTTATCTGACCTATTTCTTCTTTCTATTCTTATTCGTTCGATCCGTTCTGTCCGTTGTATCTGTTCTATCTGTTCTGTCGGGTTGGTCCGTTCCATGTTTCTGTCCGTTCTCTTTGTTCTGTTCTTTCTGTCATTCTATCTTTTGTTTTTAGACCCTCTTTTTTGTTTCTTCTTTCGTCTGTATTCCTATGGTCCAACAATCTAACCTCTCTGTACTGTCTGCACTTTCTGTTCTTTGCTGCATTTTCTTCTCTCTATCCTGTTCTTTCTGTTTTATTTAATCTTTCTGTGCGTTCTGTTTCTGACATTTCTATCCATATGCTGTCCTTTTGCATGTTTTCGTTTTGTCCTTTCTGTGCTCTATGGAGTTTCTATTCTTACTGTCTATCCTCTCTATTCTCTCTCTCCAATATATTTTTGTCCCCTTTGTTCTATCTGTCCTATTTGTTTTTCTGTACTTATTCATTCCATCCGTTCTGTCCGTTCTCTGTTCTATTTTTTCTGTCCTTCTATCTTCTCCGTGTTGTCATCCCTTTCTGTCCTTTCTAATCTTTCTTTACATCTATCGTTTGTGTTTTTTCTGTTCTATTTGTTCTTTCTATCTTATCTATCTTTCCTATTTTTATGGATTCTATTCAATTTATCGGATTTGTTCTTTCTATATTTTCTGAAGTTTCTATACTTTGTGTCCAACATATTTCTTTTGTCCTCTCTGTTCTATCTTACCTATTTGTTCTTTCTATTCTTATTCGTTCGATCCGTTCTATCCGCTGCATCTGTTCGTAATGCTCGTTCTGTCGATTTTGTCTGTTCCAGGTCTATTCTGTTCTTTCTGTGTTTTCAGTTCCCTTTGTCCTTTCTATTTTTTCTCTCCATTCATCATATGTGTATTTTCTGTTCTATCTGTTTTTTCTATTGGATTTTTTTGGCGCCCCATTTTGCTTCTTCTATCTATTCTTTCCGTCCAACAGTCTAACCCTTCTGTACTGTCTGTACTTTCGGCCTATTTTTCTGTACTTTCTATTCTTTCTGAACATCTACCGTTGCTGTCCTATTTGAATTTCTATTGTTTTCATCGCATTTTTTTGCCCTTTCTGCCTGTTATCTTCTTTCTGTTTCTTCTGTCTTATTTATTCTTTGTGTACATTCTGTTTCTGGCCTTTCTATTTTTGTCTTTTCTGTCCTTTCTGCTGTATATATTCTATCTGTCCTATTTGTTCTTTCTGTCCTTATTCGTTCGTCCGTTCAATTCCTTTGTTGTCCGTTCTGTTCTTTTCCTTCCACCTGCTCTGTTCGTTTCCCCTGTTCTATTTTTCTGTTCTTCTATCTTTTTGTGTTTTCAGTACTTCCTTCCCTTTCTATTATTTCTCTTCATCTATCGTTTGCGTTTTCTGTTCTATTTGTTGTTTTTATCTTGTCTATCTTTAATATTTTTTCTATGCATTTTATTCAATCTATCGGATTTGTTCTGTTTGCTCTTTTTGTTTCCTCTACATTCTCTGTTCTTTCTGTCCAACAATGCACCGTTTCTTTTCTATCTGTACTTTTTATTCTTTCTGGCTTATTTTTCTGCACTTTCTATTCTTCTTGTCCATACCGTTATTATCCTATCTTTTCTAACCGTTCTCTTTTTGTCTTTTATCTCCATTCCGTCATTTCTATATTTTCTGTACGTTCTGTTTTCTATCTTATCAATCCGTTCCATCTCATCTGTTCTTCTTGTCCTATCTATCATATTTGTTGTTTCTGTCATTTCTGTTTTTCTGTTCTATATATCCGCTTTGTTATGTCCGTTCTATTCGTTCTATCTGTTTTATCATTTCGATTTCTTCCTTCGATCTTTCTATTTTTTCTATCTTCTCTGTCTGTTTTATTCCTTTTGTCCTTGAATCCTTCCTGTTCTATGTGTCCCTTTTCCGTCATTACTGTCTGCTATGTCCGTTCTGTACTTTCTGTCTTTCAATCTTTCCTGTTTCATCTGTCCTATTAGTACTCTATATCTTATTTATTATTTTCATCCTTTTCGTCCTTTCAATTTTGCTTGTCCTATTTGTCCTTTCTGTATTTTCTCTTTTTTTGTGCTCGTTCTGTTTATTCTGTTCTTTCTGTCTATTCTGTCCGTTCTCTTGGTTCTGTTCTTTCTGTATTTTCTGAAGTTTCTATTCTTTGTGTCCAACATATTTCTTTTGTCCTCTCTGTTCTATCTTATCTATTTGTTCTTTCTATCTTTATTCGTTCGATCCGTTCTATCCGTTCCATCTGTTCGTTATAATCGTTCTGTCGATTTTGTTTGATCCATGTTTCTGTCTGTTCGGTTTATTCTGTTCTTTCTGTTCTTCTTTCTTTCTGTGTTTTTTTTGTCCTTTCTATTTTTTCTCTTCATTCATCATATGTGTATTTTCTGTTTTATTAGTTTCTTCTATTGGATTTTTTTGGCTCCCCATTTTGCTTCTTCTATCTTCTCTATTCTTTCTGTCCAACAGTCTAACCCTTCTGTACTGTCTGTACTTTATATTCTTTCGGCCTATTTTTCTGTTCTTTCTATTCTTTCTGCCCATCTACCGTTGCTATCCTATTTGATCCTCTATTGTCTCCCTCACATTTTTTTGCCCTTTCTGCCTGTTATCTTCTTTTTATCTTTTCTGTTTTTTCTACTTTTCTGTCCTTTCTACTCTTTCTGTCTCTTCTGTCTTATTTATTCTTTGTGTACATTCTGTTTCTGGCCTTTCTATTTTTGTCTTTTCTGTCCTTTCTGCTGTATATATTCTATCTGTCCTATTTGTTTTTTCTGTCCTTATTCGTTCGTCCGTTCAATTCCTTTGTTGTCCGTTCTGTTTTTTTCCTTCCACCTGCTCTGTTCGTTTCCCCTGTTCTATTTTTCTGTCCTTCTATCTTTCTGCGTTTTCTGTTCTATTTGTTCTTTTTATTTTGTCTACCTTTTATATTTTTTCTATGCATTCTATTCAATCTATCGGATTTGTTCTTTTTGCTCTTTTTGTTTCCTCTACCTTCTCTGTTCTTTCTGTCCAACAATGCACCGTTTCTTTTCTATCTGTACTTTTTATTCTTTATGGCCTATTTTTCTGCACTTTCTATTCTTCTTGTCCATCTACCGTTATTATCCTATCTTTTCTGACCGTTTTCTTTTTTCTATTATTTCTATTCTTTGTGTTATTTCTCTTCTTTCTGTTCTATATGTCCATTCTGTTCCTCTTGATCTTCTTGTCTATTCTGTTCTTTCTGTATTTTCTCTCCATTCCGTCATTTCTGTATTTTCTGTACGTTCTGTTCTTTTTGTCATTTCGATTTCTTCTTTCTATTATTCTATATTTTCTACCCTTTCTATTCCATTTTGTCGTTACAGTCTGTTCTGTCCGTTCTGTCCCATCTGTCCTGTTAGTACTCTCTATGCTATTTATCCTTTCCATTCTTTTTTATTCTATCTGCCCTTTTTGTTCTTTCTATAATTTCTGTTTTGTCTGTCTTTTCTGTGATTTCTGTGCAAACCGTCCCTTCTATATCTTCTGTTCCTTCTGTCTATTCTATTCAATATATCCTTTTTTCCCGTTCCCTTCTTTCTATCCTCTTTATTCTTTCTGTCTTTTCTATCCTTACTATTTCTTCTGTTCATCTATTGTTTCTCCATTAGTTCTTTCTATCTTGTCAATCCGTTCCATCCTTTCTGTCCTGTCTGTTCTTCCTGTCCAATCTATTTTTTCTGTCCTATCTATCGTATTTCTTCTTTGTGTCATTTTTTTTTTCCTGTTCTATATATCCGTTTTGTTGTATCCGTTCTATTCGTTCTGTTTGTTTTGTCATTTCGATTTCTTCCTTCGATTTTTCTATTTTTTCCGTCTTCTGTGTCTATTTTATTCTTTTTGTCCTTGAATCCTTCCTGTTCTATGTGTCCCTTTTCCGTCATTACTGTCTGCTATGTCCGTTCTGTACTTTCTTTCTTTCAATCTTTTCTGTTTCGTCTGTCCTATTAGTACTCTATATCTTATTTATTATTTTCATCCTTTTCGTCCTTTCAATTTTATCTGTCCTATTTGTCCTTTCTGTATTTTCTTTTTTTTTGTGCTTTCTGTCTGTTCTATCCGTTATGTCCATTCTGCTCGTTCTGTTTATTCTGTCCGTTCTGTCCCTTCTGCCCTTTCTTCTGTTATAAATTATGTTTAAACAGATAATATTTATGGTGCCCTTGGCGACAAGTAAAATTCAAGAAATTATAAGAGTTTCTGTTTTTCCTACATTTTTCTGTTATTTTCAACTAAGTACTATTTTTTCACAAATATTCAAATTTTTTCTCTTTGAAACTAATTTTTACACTTAATCAGTAATCATGTTTCCCGTTTTCTACAATTTTCACTTCGATTACTACAACGTGTTGTCCAAAATTATAAAAAAATAGCGGAGTTGTAAATTTTTAAATATATTATATGATCATTTTTTCACAAAATACAACTCGAAAAAATCCTTGCATTGATACGGTTTTGTTTTTCTATTATATAATGAATCTAAATTTATAAGATTATACTCGACATTCAGTTTAAAATATTACTTAAACTTAGGAAAACTTAATTTTTTATTCAAGTCAAAAATAACGTAATAATAATTTTTGTGGTTATGAATGAGGGCGTTTTTTTAGCACGTAATTTTCGCCGATTAACCCCCGGCTTATAATATTTTTGCGGAAATCCACTCGATAATCCCCAATTACCTGAAACTGCTGTTGCTCCAGACCTCCAGACTCGCACTGCGAAAGTCCAATTTCCGATGGGACACAATCGCCATCCTTCTCCCAGTCCTCTCCCTGTCCAGCACCTCCCCACGACCCCTCGCCGGATATTTCATGCTCATTGTGAACACAAAACGCACTCTATCTTCCCGTTCTCGTCGTTCCACTTCCGACGCAAATTCGCCGCTCAAACCGCCTCATCTTCGCCACCGTTTACTGATCTAGATCAATTGATACCTTGTTGTATTTGCGAAATTTCGGATTCGCGCATGGCTTTTATTTACAAAGGTTCACTTTCAAAGAGGTGATTTCGCATCATCAAAGCTTTGGGGTTTATTAATATTGTGCATGCGCACGGCTAGGAATAGGACATTCACACGATAGTGATGGGAATTCAGAGGCGGTTTTGTGCAGAACAATGGGCTAGTTTTAATTGAATGTGGTATCGATTCAGGTTTTGCAGGAAGAAAATTTTGGTGGTGCTGGCTCGTTGGCTCTGGAACACGAGGAACGGGATGAGAAATGGCGCAATAAAACTGATGGAGTTGTAGAATACTAATGTCTAGGGGCGATGTACTCAGGGCTGGATTTTTCACCCGGACGATTTTTATTTTATGGGGGAATTTTATAATTGCTCAGCTGCCGGAATAATTACGGAAAGGTTAAGACCGGTCTCGTTTTTATACTTTGTGTAGAATATTGCGTTTTAAGAAGACTACTATTAAGGAATCATAACATTTTTATTTCAAATTTAGTTTTACGAA